CATGTTGGTGTAATCTGAAAATGTCGGTTTGGCAATTAATTAAATGGTTGGAGGATACTGAAATTTTTACTCGACTACGTCATTTCATTCACTTACTGCTTTTGAAATCTGAAAGTTTATCCTTTCTCTGTATTAGACTGGGATCGTGTTTAATGGATTTTGGAATTTGAAAATAATTAGCGACGGCTGGAATTTTCAAAAACAATACCGTTCCCAATGACGTCAAATTAGACATGGTCCAATAACACTGTAAAGCCTATAAAAAAAAAATGAATTTTTAAAATGAATGTATTCGATAAATAAAAATTTATTTCAAAAAAAAAAACTCACCGCTGGAAAGTTCATGGTAATAGGAAATAAAATGACGGGTAAAAACCTAAATAAATATCTCAACCATATTTGTTGAATTGTACCCATTGAATTCCCTTCTGCTCCCGTCTGTAAACATAAATTTAAATTTTCATAAAAAAATTATAAATCATAATGAGAAAAAAAAAAAAAAAAAAAAAAAAGCAAAACAAACCTCCATAATAGCAAAAAATGTACATGAAACCATAACGGGTAATACATAGTAGGGATCAGGTACTGTGAGATCGGTGAACCAAAATAAACCTCCTGTTTTCATACTCTCAACGGGTAAATTTGTCATAGCTCTCAAACCCCAAAACATTGATAAAAAAATTGGAGCCTGAGCGAAAGCAGGTATGAAAAATCCTAACGCACCTATTTGTTTGGTTTTCATAAATTCTTGTAATTCGTTCACATGATGTGCGACTAAAATATTAATAATAATTTATTGATTTACATAAAAAAAATTTTTTTTTTTTTTAATATGAAAAAAAAAAAAAATATAAATAAGTAGTATTGACTGACTTACCTTCGTAGTAATTTCCAGTAAGTTTTGCTTCATTGATTTTATTTTGATATCCTTGAATTTGTGGGAGATTATTTTGCATCAAAATTGCATTTTTCCTACATTTAATATTTAGGGGTAAAATAATTATCCTAACAGCAACACTCACTGAAAAAATGTTTTATGTTAATGATATTTAATTTTTTTTTAATTATTAAATGTCGATAAAATATCAATATCGAGTAAAACGAATTATTTTGACTTTATTGTACATTAAATTGAGGGACTCAATTTTTTTTTTAAAAAATTAGTTACCGATTGCAATTGTACCCCACCAGGGTATGTCAAAATTAATATGTATTATTTCTAATAATCTTTGAACCAATCCTGATGGCCACCAACTGGCTAATCCTTGACTTGCTAATGTCGGTTCTTTTAAACCTTCTTCGAGAATTGTCGAGATGACTTGTGAGACGTTTTCTTCAACTGGAACAGTCGGAATGGGGGGTAATGTTGATTCATCGATAATTATATTATTTGTATCATTTGTCAATGATTGAGTGTGAGAGGATTCATTTGTGAGAGTTGTGCCGGTAACATCGGTCGAAATAACTTTGTCTAATGTTTGATTTGATGATGAAACAATACTTGAACTGCAATGCCTGTACGCGTTTTTAAAATTTACTTTAAGGAAACTTGTCGATCTGTTGTAATTTTGTAAAAAATTTACTTTGTTTATCAAACAACCAGAATGTTTTTCTCTTGTGATAAATTGTACAACACAATTCTAAAAAACACAAATTTAAAAAAAAAAATAAATAAGTTAAATAATTCATAATTAATTATTTAGTAAAATTATTATGTTATTTATTTATTTATTTTTTTTGATTTATTAAATTTACCTTATTTCCATTGTGAATTGATCTACTTATCCTATTGAAATTCCTTAGGCAAGACTGTAGCCCAGCCATTTTTACAATTCACATGAAGTTTCGCATCGAAAGCAGACGATAATTTCTTCTGACACGTTATTTTGTCGTTCAGAAATTTTAAAATAAATACGTAAGTAAATTAATTTATTGAAATTTTTTATTAATTTATCCACGAAAATATTTAAATCATAAAATTTTTAATTCATTCACAGACGATGTAAATTCAATTAAATAAATATTTAGAAGCAGAAGAATATTTATTTATTTAAAGAAGCAGACGACGAATGACTTACTGCCACGACATAACGTATATCTAAGGTAATTTTTATAATCGTTGAAATTAATCGTTGATGTTCTTTCGTAAGGTACGGAACAAAAAATAATTTTTTGTGAATTAAAAATAAGTGAATTTAATATATAATTAATAATTGTTTTTAATATAACAGATATAAATAATAAACGAATAATAATAATAATAATAATAAATATAAGAAGAGGATTTGATGAAATAAATATCGTTTTACCAAAAAAAAAAAAAAAAAAATGTAATTTTAATAATCAGTTAAGAATTAAAATACAAAAAAAAAAAATAATTCGACGTTTTTTTTTATAAATATTTTGGTAAGTAATTATTAATTTATTTTTTTAAAAAAAAAAAAAAAATTGTTGTTTTTTTTTTTTTCATAACGAATTAATATCGTTACCTGCATATGAGAATTAAAATCGATAATAATAACAACATTATCCCCCTCATCTTTATCTTACCATGGATTTTTTTTTTTCTTTTTATTGATGAATAAAATTTATTTATTAAATTTTATTAAAAATATTAATTTATTTAAACATAAATAAACTAGTATAATTTATACATTATTCTAAATAATTATTTTTTATTTTAAATAATAACTGTAGAAAAAAAAAAAAAAAAAAAAAAAGAAAAAATTTGAATTTGGATATGTGAAGATGTGAGCCATTTGTAAATAGTCAACAGAAAAAAGAAAATTTTTAAAATTTTCCCACACCCTCTTTTGCATTTTATCAGTTGTGATAAGAAAGTGATAACAAGACATTTTAATAAATATACTCAATTTAATTTTTTCCATGTAAATAAAATCTCATCAAATATTTTTGGTAATTTGTTTCATTTAGTTTTAACTCTGAACAACCCTGGGATTATTTAATTAAAACTAATTAATAATAATAATAATAATTATTATTGATTTCAATTTTTTTTATTCAAGGAGTTAATAAACATGAGTACATAAAATAAACCAAAAAAAACTATTAAAATTAATAACAAATCATGTTTAAAAATAATAAAAAAAAAATTTAACATGATTTTCATCAATAAAAAAAAAATTAATTTCATTAATCATCATTATCATTTTAATTCATTCATTTATGTAACATGCAAAAAACAAAAAAAAAAAAAATTAAACAAATTAATTATTTAAAAAAATTTTAATAAAATTTTATGTAAAAAAAAAAAAAAAACAACAACTTTTTTTTTTAAATGAATGGGAAATAATAATAATAATAATAATAATAATAATAATAATAATAATAATAATAATAATAATAATAATAAACAGGAATTAAACAAGTTTTTTTTTTTTTTTTTAAATTCTAACGGTTTTTATTTATTTATATATAT